GTTAATATTAATGAATCTGTGGCGCTTTATATGTGGCTTGTCCCCAGGATGTTTTCTCTTTGCTATGCATTTCTGATACACTTCTATCCAAAACATATGCCAGGAGTGCTTCATTCTCAGCAGCATACAAAATGTAGTGTACAATAACAAAGCAACAAGTTAGACTTATTTTTTCCTCTTATCTTGTGCTCTTCACTCATGTTTCCCTAGACAAAATAGCTTGTCTGTAAAGTGGTCATTCGGTGTTCAAAGAACTTTTGTTTGTCTTTGATTTGGGCTTTCAGGAGTTGTTCCTCTTAATGGCAAATTCAAAAGGATGTTTTTGAGCTCTATGCCTTGAGCAGGAAAAATAGGATTTTGGTTGTTTTGAATTTTGCAGTTTGCTGTCAGACAAGATTATTTGTATGACACTTTTGGTATCTGGGAGTGAATTTAGGTTTTGGTGTTTGCTGCAGATTTTTGGGACCCCTCTCTACCAACCTATATCGACGGTATCCACTGATTCTGGTGTATCTCTTGCACTGGTGCCTTAATGTGCTTTTAAGCAGCTTATTTTCTGTTCATGTTTTGAGGCAAAACTGAGCTTTGAAAGAAATTGAGTCACTTGCTACAGGTGCTGCTCCAAAACCATTAACTGCATAACTGCTCAGAACAAGATTTACTCTTCTTAAACCCACTTTATTTGACGTGATGTCCTCACGTACTGATTAACACTGTGCTGCTATTAACGAATTCTGCTGATGAAATTTAATGCATGGCTTGCAAGCATGTGTAGTCTTAATTTTATATGTGACAGCAGTGACCATCATAAACTCAGTGCATTCACCAGCTGAAGAAATAAAGTAAACCTTCCAGCATTGGTCCCTTTTCAGGTTTTTCCTCGGGGCAAACCTTCACACTAGTAAAGTAGTAAGACTGAAGAAAAACATCAAGTGACTGCTGTAGTTTTCCTTGTTTCAGTCAGGGGAATATGCATGCACTTCCTCTTTATTTCTCTTTGACCCAGTTTCCGCTTTCTTTTTTAGTCTGGCATCAGACCAGCCAGTACCTGTTATTCTTTTATACAGTGTTTTCTTTACTTTGTGAACTTGTCCAAAAATATTGAGGGATATCACCAGCTTCCGTTGTTTCCATTGTTTTCACTATTGAATTGCAATTCTGAAAAGCATACATGAAAAATATGACAATTATTTTTACATGCATAAAGGAACTGCTGTTAAATACTGCATATTTGTAGGTTTCTTTACTCTTGACTATTATTTTTCCCTGCCTAAACACAAATTCTATATACTTTTGAAAACTACGTGGAATTGTATTTTGAACAGATTTTATAATGAGTTTTATAATATAGTTCTGGTCAAAGATCTATAGTTCGCCTGAGTACAGCACTTTTCCTGGAAGGAGTGGGGTTCAATCATTAGTAACGTATTGTCACCAGAATGATAAGGCAGCATGTGTTAAGTTTAGCTCATAAATGCGAACACTCATTCGCTCACTCCCAGGAAGCTCGACTGCTAGAGCTGGGGATGAACCAGATGGAAGAGCTAATCAATGTCTGCTCAAATGGGCTGGTTTTTAATAGTGTTCAGTGAGTTTTGGCTATTTGATATACCAACACCCACACTGCAGTCTTTAAGATATTGTTTTTTCTTCCGCAAAGGAGATCTTCACTTTGAGATTAGGAATCAATAGCTGAAAATTAGTAAGAACATATGTAATTACATCAAAATGAATTAATATAACTGCTAGAAATAACTGCACTTTTAAGGTAATTCCTTCCAATTAGACAAATACCAGGTATTAATGGCTTTCACCATGAATTTTGTTTTGCTTCAGAGTTGTTATACAAGTATGTGTACTTCTACAAAAGAGTGATTACTCAGGTTGGCAACTGTAACATGTATTTCATCTCAGCTGGTATCTAATAATTCATCCTAAAATAGAAACTACAACTTCATCCTAGAATTACCTGTCCTAGTCGGGTTAAAGCGTGTCAGGCAAGTGTTTGGGAGGTTACATTTTTCTAGTGCTTTCCAGTGCTGGGCTTTGTTTGTGTACAAGCTGGTATCTTAGTTTTGGTCTTTACCTTGATTTTGTGTCTGAATAACTAAGTTAAGAGGGTTGGTGGTTTTTTTTTTCATTTTTTGTCAGTAAAGCACTTCTCTCAGAATAATACACAGCATTGATGGAGTTACATCTCTGTTAAATATTCCCTGGAATAGCTGTGCTGTAAAACGCAGATTTATACCAGGTCCATCTGTAGTGGGAAGAGGAATTTGGGGGTGGGAGTATTTGGGGATGGAGATACTTTAACTGAACAAGTAAGAAAATACAATTTTTTTATATTGTTAGGAGTTGCTGAGTCTGGTAGCCCAATGCAGGCAAAGCTGCCACAGCTCTGTATCACTAGGTCCGGCTGGTGGCAAGGTTGATGGTATATTCCCAATAGGCATGCATGTACACACGAGCATAGGTGCACGCACATGCTAATGGGATTTCTGTTTGGTATCTCTGTCTTGCAGTCCTGGTCAGAGAAGACTCTGTGAAATCATTGAGTATTTTAATTAAAAAGGGCAGGGCCTGTCCCTGAATTACTTCTTCACCTCTGAGAAGAGTCCCTGGAGGCATTTGTTGGGAGGCAGAATGTCTCTATCCACAGTTCTCTCCCGCAGTGGATAAATTATTGACGGTGCTGAGAAGTGAAATCCTTTTCCCGGCACTGCTCAGGGGCACTAAATTCATCTTGAGGCAGATGAGGCTGAAAGAAGTGGAGAGGAAAATCACATCAGTCAAGGATAAATCTTTAATGTTATCTATCATGTGTTACTTTGGAAATAGAGTGGTCTAAAAGGCCTGGTATTCCTGAAAAGTGGTCTCTCTGCCATTCATCAGCCAGAGTTGAGGTTTTGATATAGTTTTATTACAGAGAGATGCAAAATGATCATTACCTTGCTTGAAATACACATCTACAGCAGCAAATGTGACATATGAAGCATGATACAAAATATCATTATCTTCAGTTTGTTTGGTTATACTTCTGAATTTCAATAACTTAATAAACTTCATAGTAAAATAAACTAGTTTTGTCCAGCGTGCAGTGTCCTGATACTTAGTCTGTGGTAGGTGGTGTGCTAAAGTGCTACTCTCAGTGCCCAGTCATGGAAATACGGAGTCCACAGACTGTCAGGGAATGGATAAGCAATGTCAGTTGGAGTTCCTAGTTGCCCTTTGTGAGGGCATGTTTCCACACAGGATGCAGGTGTAGATAGTTACCAAGCACCACTACTTTTTTAAAGTCTTGCATTTCAAAGTCCTGTGTGCAAAGAGTCGTTAACAATTAGCATACCGCTTGCTTATCACCGCAGGGCATGCTGTTCATATACTGGGCTGTACGTTGTTACCAAGATAAATTTAAATGTCATTAAATTCAAGGAAAAAAGACTGATGTGGAAAACTTCCAAAGAGACCAACACTACTCAGTGAAGAGTATACAGATGTTTGAGCCCTGTGCTTCTGTTTGTGCAAGAGCTAAAGCAACTCAGCACTTTTTAGGCCCTATAAGGAGACACTAGAAGAATTCAGAGTTATTAATCTCAAATGTACCTGTAGCTTCTGAGGGGAAATCTTTTTTACTGTTAGGGTAACTGAGCCCTGGCACAGGTTCCCAGAGAGGTTGTGGAATCTTTATCCTTTGAGATACTCAAAAGCCTTCTGGACGTGGTCCTGGGCAACCAATTCTAGGTGGCCATGCTTGAGCAGGGGAGTTGGACCAGATGTCCTCCAGAGGTCCCTTCCAACCTCAGCTGCTCTGTGATTCTGTGAAGGACTGTACTCCATAGCTTGTTGGCATGGTTCAACTCTATCCTTCCCAAAATGGACACACAAACTTAAACATGAGATTTTTTCTGTTTGCCCACAGGTCTGGTTGCTTCCATCATGTCAAGTGATAATCCTTTATTTCAGGATTGCATATGAAAGAATGACTGGAGGACTTGATTGTCAAAAGAAAGCCTCAAACAAGTAGAATTAGACCTCAGTAACAACAGACTCTCATGATCTGTTGAGTGGTGGAGGAGTTTCCCTTTAGAATTCCTGATTTTACCAGCTCTGAACATTTTACATTGTGGTTACCAATTCAGTGTTTGCCTCAACTCTCACTTTGGAGAGCAGAGAGGTAAAATGATCGTGATCCTTTTTTCACGTGGTGCCTGTGGTGTAATGGGCTGCTGGGCAGCTAGTTCTCCAGCTCAGTGAAAAAGGAGCAGTACTGATGTTGACGGGGTGGGAGGCTGTTTTGTTCCTGCAGCTTGTTATTCCTGGATGCGTGTCATGCCCAACCAACCATCCCAAATTCCTCCAGAAAAAAAGAAACTTCTTTTTCTTTCAGAAATGAAGTAAGAAATGTATTTGTTAAAAAAAAAAAAAAAAAAAAAAGAAGAACAACCTGTCAAGCTCTGGGGATGGGCCTGATGTGCAAAAAAAAAAAAAAAAATGGAACAAAGATATTTTAAAAGTTGTGGTTAACAGGAAGAAAAGGCATGGCAAAAACTGTGTGAAGCAGCTAATCGGTATTTTAAGGGAGCAGAGGGAGAGAGAAGAACAGAGCATACAGAAAGGGAAGACAGCATCAAGAGCAGATGTAAAATAACATGATTTTTTCATGAAGGACAAAACTCTGAGATCTAAACAGTTCAAACCTACATTTCTAGTGTTGCTTTGCTGTTTAAACAATTGCTTTGTTGCTTCAAATAGATTTTCTGGTCATAGAGACATCCCAGAGATTATTACTGATGTTCACAAGCTAGGCAATATGACATGGGGCTTATGTCATAAATAATGTATGTAGTCTTTGTTAAAGGTAAAAGAGCATAGAGTAAGAATTGTAGCACTAGTCTGTAGCAGTTTACTTCCAAGTATAAGATAAAATTCAATTTAATCTCTGAGGAAATATATTTATTTTATTCCTAACTGGTTTTTGTTTCCTTTTTCCCCCCCCATAGCTCGCACCTTCCCTTCCATTACAAGAAGATTTTGTTTACCACTGGAAAGCAATCACCCATTACTACATAGAGACGTCAGGTAAAAGAAGAAAACATTCTGGTTTTGTCTCTTTTTTGGGAAAACCAGAGTTCCCACTTTCAGTGTTGTTAAAAATTAAAGATTTAGAAATACTAAAATGAGTCATGTCTTTTATCAAAATACCAACAATAATAATTAGTAATTAAAAATATTGTGTACCTCCATTCATCCCTTAAAAAGTAGGTATGAACAATGATGGAGGGGAAGTCTTCTTTCCTGAGTAGCATGTAGAGAATTGTACCTTCTCACGTCCAACCCAATTTCTGTCTTTATATGTTCTGTTTAATCTAAACAGACAGCTACAGAAATGTAGTCCCTGCTGTTAACCTTTTTATTGTTTTGCATCAGGGATTTTCTTTTTCTTTCCAAGATTTTAACAAAAGTAATTTTGTGGTCACACATTTTACCAGACATATCTGAATTCTTTGTGCTCAGTATTAGGTATTTTTCCTTTAGTGTCTTGTCTCCATGAAAGGTATTTTGGCATAGCTCTGAAAAGTGAATTTGTGAGCAGATTTAGAACGCGTTTTGTTAAAACTTATTCTGCTCTTCTAAAAAATGGGTATGCTGATGAAATATGACTGTAGTTACTTTTTCTTAAACTCTTCCTTGGTTTCCTATAACACTTATGCAACATTTAACTTTTTAATTTTTGGTCCTAGTTATTAAACTATTAAGTTTTAAAAGTGAATGTTACCATGCTTTCCTCAAGCTTATTAGTTTTGCATTTCTGCTAGAGTACCTATTGAATCTGTCTTTGTGTCTGGGTCTGGTGATGTTGTTTACATCTATGTTTACTCTTACAAGCTGAAATTCGACCCTTGGTTCTAAATACCCATCTTTTGGAACGCTATGTGATGTTTCCTAAGGTAGAAATGACAGGGTGCCAGGGGAAAACTGATACCTGTGATTATGTGGTGCAGAATAAAAGCTGACCTCTCTCCCAGACTTTCAAATACCTTGTGAAAAACAAGTTCCCACTCAGTGGATGTACCTCTGTCTTCTGCAGTGGGAGCAGAATTATGCCTAGGAAACTCAAGCAAAACACTTTAGGCTAACTCGAGGTTGTGGTAGAGACCAAAATCACTCTGACGTGGCAGTTTTCCTTCGTGATCTTGTTGCCATTCGCATGCAAGTGACAGTTATTTTTAGATGATTGCGTAAGAAGTAGTAATCATTTCCCTAGTGGGATAGTTGTTCAAGCAGAATTTAGCTGAAAAAAAAAAAAGGAAAATGTGCACGTGTGGATGTGCTCTACATCATGCTAATGCCAGCTCCCACTGCCAGTGGCATAAATCCACAGCAGTTTAATGACTTTAGTATAATGAAATCAGTGTCTTACGCTTTCCTTCATAAAGTTTGACAGAGTGCTATCAATGCAGAAAGTATAAAAGACAAATCTAAAAATTTTTGAAGAATAAACAACATAGAGTTTGGGTTTTCTTTGTTGTTATTATTAGAAAAAACATTTATTTAGTTATCTAGTTTGTAAAGGAACTGATCAGCTGCAAATTAAGCAGATGTTAGAGGCTGTTTATAGGTTTCAGAATAGTGTGTGAAGAGTCAGAGGAAGTTATCAAGACAGGGTGGATACTAACTGGAAAATTGAGTGTTGAACCTTTCTCTCTCTAACGTTGGTTTCTGTCTGTAAAAGTTTTCCCTTTTGACGGTGTAATTAATGCACGTTTTGAAATTCGGCATTTCACCTTTTCCCCATTCCAAGGTTAGATATCTGCTTAATACATATTCTAGTTTACATTTCCAGATACAGTTCTGGAAATTTGATTTAAGACATGTTAAAAAACTCCCATACTATATATAAGATTTTTTAAATGAGTGGTCATGTTTTTAAATCTTAGATTTCTGAACTTAAGAAAAGCGAGGACAATATTTTAATCATTCTTAATTGCACATCTCTTTGATTTAGATGACAAAGCTCCTGTAACTGATACCAACATTCCTTCTCACCTGGAACAGATGTTGGATATTCTAGTTCAAGAAGAAAATGAGAGGGAATCAGGTGAAACAGGACCCTGTATGGAATATTTGCTACACCACAAGATTTTGGAGACACTCTACACACTAGGAAAAGCTGATGTATGTATTTCTTGGCAGAGCAAGTGTGTGAGCTCCTAACTGCAACAGGGACTGAAGTTCTACAGTAGGTGGTAGTGTGGGACACTGAACTCTAGCAAAAAGCTGTTTGCTTATGTTACCAACATATTACAAATAACAGTCTTTTACAAGTGTGATCAAAGTGAGACAACCAGTAAGATGCTGACTAACGTGGAACTCTGAGATTTGTTACTCACCACTCTAATAATGTTGACTGTGAAGCTAGAAGTAGGAGGAACATTTTTGTTCAGTCTAGAATTTTTCTGGCTTCTACAAGACAGTATTATCCCTCTCTGTCCTTTGTTAAGTGTTGGGAGATTCTTGGGTGAAAAGTGCTATATTAAATACAAATTTTAATTTTTCTGAATGTGATGATTTATTGCTCAGAAAGACTTCCATGTCAGAAACGATTAATTTAGGCTGATCCCCAGACAGCTCTCATGTGGATGTGGTATGAATGCAGCCATTGGCAATGTTGTGTGGTACTTCTCATGTCTGCTTTGTGGCACATGTGAAATTTGCTTCATGGTCTTGGTGCATTCTTGTTGCTGTCTTTCTTGGCAGACTTATGAGCTGAAACGTATGGGGTGGGATGGATCGTGGGGTGAAATAATTTGGCATCCTAGAACTTTTTGTATCATGATGTAGGTGCAGTTAGGAAAGCATGGTGTATCCTGTTCCAAGGGTAAATGGAGCTCTCCGAGGTTTTGTTCTCAGTCAGTCCTTTACATGTTGTCGTGAGTTTTTAATCTACTGGATTTTACATATATAGACAATGTAGGGTACTAGCTGTCTGAGCCTGGGATGTTCCGTGCTCTGGAAGGACCAGAGCTCTACAATTCCTGTTACTATACCAGCTGTCCTGCGAGCAGAGCAAGATACTGATTGTATTGAAAATACTTGCTCAGAAATACAGCTCGTTCAGTAATCTATAAACTTTGTCAAGAAACCAAGATGAAATGGTGACATATGTGAAGCGGGTAATTAGTAGTATGTTTCTAAGAGTTGAGAGAAGTCATTTTGCGCTCATGCAAATACGCCTGTACAAGCAATTCCTGTACAGGCTGTCTTTATCCTTTGCCACTTGTGAGTTGATACAGCTGAAGTAAACACGCAGTTCGGTGCTTGCAAGATGTTGCAAAGATCTGTTGCAAAAAGAATAATACCCTTTCACAGCAATCACTTAGACTTATTACATTAGTGTAGATGCACCCTGGTGGTACACATTTTGCCATTCTTTTCAACGGATTGCTTGACAACACAGCGATAATTAGGGATTAATAATCTAGCGATAATTACCTTGGAAGGAGAACTAGGTTAGGCAGTTGTCATTCCTGGCTGTTGCCACCCATACTCCGTTCACCTGTGCAGTGAACCAGATGAGGGAAATGATGTGGGTTAAAATTAACCTATGGAATGACAGCATTTAGTAACATGGTAGAACACGTTGGAGCCAGGGGGGATTTAGCTAGAAACAAAGGTACATAAAGGACCACAAGCCGTTGGATCTCATGGAGATAAGAAAGTACTTTCATGTGACATGGTGCACGAGGGACAGCAAAACATGGGTCTGGATGTTTCACAGGTATTTGTGATTTATATTCTGCTGAATCTCGGGGAAAACAACAGCTTTCTCTTGCCCTGGAACACCTGTGCATTTATAAACACTTTATCTGTCTAAGGTTAATTGCTCATGAATTTAAAAAACCTTTTGTAGACATTAAGATGTTTTGTGACGCAGCACCGTAAAAGACAGCTGACCTGTAGCCAATTAATTCAGTGTTGATTTCCGCCTATCACTGTATTGATAGGGGATGTTTCCTGGAAGTATTGGTAGAAGTCTTCACTAGAGCAATTAACTGAAAGTATGAATAATTTGAAAAAGAAAACAGTAATGACATGCAATATTTTTTGTTGATCTCTGTTAATATCAATAAAAGTAATGTGTTAACAGATAATGATTTTTTTAAAAATACTTCTGGATAAATTATTGCTGTTTAATTAGCCATTTTGAGTGACAAATTTGCATATATGTTTCTCTCTGTATTGGTTGTATTTTTGTTATTGTTCATCTGTTTTTCTTTCAGTGTCCTCCAGGAATGAAACAGCAAGTTTTGGCTTTTTATACAAAACTTCTTGGAAGAATACGGCAACCTCTTCTTCCCCACATAAATGTGCATAGGCCAGTGCAGGTATTGCTCAAATTTTAAGTAAATATATTGTTGTATCACAAGTTTCTCTTATTCTGCTGTAGCTAATGGTATCTTTAATTCTTGCATTGTTGAGTGAGTCAAAGAACCTGCTCAAGTGCAGTATCAGTTTTAAAGTATTAATGATTAGAGCCTTGTACTGCCACTGCAATGCAAGTCATAAGTAATACAGAAATCTTGTTCATAGCAATCTAATCTAGAGCAAATGTTCGAGTCAGTAATCATGCATCATTGTAGTATGTATATAGAAAAAGAATTCAGTCCATCGTTCCTAGAAAAAGCTCTAACTTTCTCTCTGTCTTAATTGTTCGCTTTTCTTTATGTGATAGAAACTAATCAGGCTGTGTGGTGAAGTTCTGGCAACACCAACAGAAAATGAAGAAATTCAGTTTCTCTGCATAGTATGTGCAAAGCTGAAACAGGATCCATACCTGGTCAACTTCTTCCTTGAGGTGAGTAAATCAAATCAAATTTTCCAGGTGTATTTACAGTGTCACAGACAAAATCTAATAGAGAACTGGAGGTATCTCATTGTGCATCATAGTTTAGTCTCCATTCACTCTGTGGTATTTTTTTGTCTGTGATATTAGAGGTTTGGTTTTGTTTTTTTTTTTTTCATCCAGAGACTTGATACATCTGATTATTTTTTACTAGAATTTCATTTACTCACAGCTATACCTGCCTGCGGTCCTTATCCTTTGTAGTGAAAGTGCCTTTAGAGTAGGGATATGAATTGTAATGTAAAGCACTGTGTGCGGGAGACCTTGGATTTCTTATGTTGTTTTGTCTTCAGTGCAATGAAGACTAAGGGACAGATTGCACGGGGCATTGAAACCTTGCAAGTTGCTAAGTGTTCTGCAGGATTGGGCCCTTATTTGGTAGTGGCACATATGGTCTAGCTGCAGTGCCAGCTCACAATCTACAATATGACATTATTTTCTGTCTGTAAGAAAGCCAAATATCTTTACTCCCTCTTCGAACTTAACATGTGGCATTGATGAAATCAGAGTGGGAGGAGAAAGAATTTCTAGACTGACTTTCTGTTCCCATTTAGAAGGAGCATATAAAAGTTTAATTTATAAAAGTCCATTTAGAAATCACTCCTGCTCCCACTTTGATGTTTCCTATGGTGAGACAGTATCTATTAAGCATGTGATACGTAGGTGAAAAGATCTAGATATAGTGTCCTTAAGGAATATTTTACAAGCTTTCCGCAAACAAGATCTGTAACAGCAGATGCTGTTAAACTGCAAAGATACATTATTTTCCATGGAGTATATGAATATCACTTATGTAAGTCAGTAGTAAAGAATCCATCTTGAGTTTATTTTTACCTTAATTAAATACCACTCTGATTGCTATTGTGTCCACTGTAGTTATACAAGCAGTAGAAATGGTGTAAGGATTGAAAAGTTAGTGTTTAAACATTAGAAGCACTCAGAAGCAAACTACTGGATATATTACATGCAGAATATGGTAGAAGACCAAACCAGGATTACTTTTAATGTCATTTATACTTAAATACTGCCCTTGAAATCAAACCTGAGAACCCCAACCATAAAAAGCACAAGTGTTAGACATTAGTGTTCTTCCCCAAAATAGTAATATTACAATACTAAAAATCAGACATGGAAAACCAAATGATTCCAAATTTCAACGATTTTCAAATTTCTAGTTTCACAAAATGCTGGCCATAGAGTTCTGGCAAGCTGAAGAACATTTTTTGTAGCTCCTGTTTCCTTCACAACGTTATTCTAAATGCCATAGCCTAAGGCATATGTCTTTACAGCTTATGATAGTTGTTTTCAGATAAGGCATTTGGGGTGCAGAATTGTCCTTTATTGGAATAGAGTAGTCTGATTGTTCACATTTGTGCCTCTTAGAGGTGCTGTTGTTGTGACTTGATAGCTGTTTCTGACCTTCAAATGCATGAAAGGGTAAATTTGCAGAATTCTGTGTGGCATTTATCTCTCAAATCTCCAGCCCATATAAACTGAAATGCGGATATATCTCTCCAAAGCAGTCTGTATCTGTTAGTTTTGCTTCCTCCTTTGACTTTTCCTGATCAGTTTCTACAATATTTTATAAACATAAAAAAATGAGTATGTACAAACCCAGGATTTCCTTTATATGATTCCATATAAAATAGTTTGTTGTTAGAACGCTGTTTATATTTTAGTAAAATCTTTCACCTATGTTGCTTAACCAATAAGGTTATATGGCATAACTGTATCTCTTGGGCAAGTTACATTTGTTGTGGAACTAAGAACTGGAAGAATTGCATTCTGCTTTTTTAAACCTTTAAAATCCATATACTAATTTTATTTTTGCTTTAATTCATTCTTTTCTTTAAACTGGATTTTCCACGTTCATACATACATAGGAATGTTTGACTTACCACCTCTATCTCAGTCATTATTTTACACTAAACTTGTTACTTCACGTTTTTCCTTATTTGTTTATTCCTTAGTTGCCTTATTTCATCCCATCTTATGCAAGATACTCCTTGCAACTGATTGTTCCATGCAAAGGGACACTTGATTCTCTGTGTTTTACTTTCTGCTCTTGAGACCTTAAACGCGTTCTAATACACCATCTTGTTAAAAAGTTGTACCTTCATTTTATAAAATGAACAATAGTTTCACTATTCACTTCTGCTTTCATTACTACAAATTATCAGCTTTATATTTCTCACCATGAATTAAGTAGAGATTCTCATTAGCTGTGATATCACTTGATTTTTTCACAGAATTCTTTTTAAATCTATCTGAACTTAGACATGGCATCATCCACCACAGATTTTGAAACCCTGATAGTTACATATCATGAAAATATAAAAATGTATTTTTATATTGTCTGCTCTCTGTTGATGCTGAATTCACTTAGAGGAGTACTTTGTCTAGAAAGCATTGAATATGTGTTTTATGTAACCTTTTCTATTAGGTCATTCAGGATCCTGTTTTGCACCTTTACAGGAGGCAGGTGAGCAGCTAAGCTGCAGAATTGCATGATTAGACAATAGGAAGCTTAAATACACGTAAAAAACTGCCTCTGTGTTGCTCAATGTACAGACTGCTTTGTGTCACCTGCCAACGGAAAAGTAATGAGCTCTGGACAAATTTCTAGGGGCATTTATACATTTATATATGTTAGGTCTTCTCATCAAAGCCTTAGCTAAACAAACTATGGCCTTTCAAATGACAGAAGAGTCCAGGCATGAGGCTGACATAGGATAAAACAAGTATTTTACAAAATTTTACCTAATTTTTGAAAAAAAGTAGCTTTTCTCTTTGGCAACCCTGCCTGCTACTTGAGTAGTGCCAGCAACAGTATATAATCCAGGACTGAAACGCAGTTCCAGCCTTTAGTTGTGCTTTATGTGCAAAGCTCGTCATTGTGATTCAGATACTCCTGTGTATTGATAAAATATATGGGAGGGTACTGGAGGACTTTAGAAGATTTAAGTACAGACAGACATGGTTCAGACAGACACATTTTGGTTGCTTTGCAGCCTTACGTATTTCACACTGTAAAAAAAAAAAAAAAGAAAATGCGTTGAAGGAGTAATTTTCCTACTGTAGTAAAAAGTCGTACTTATTTTATAACATGCAGTGTGCTGCTTTTACCGCTGGGTTGCCTCTCCAGGGAATTGGTTATATGAGTATATCATAACATTCAATACGAATTCTCCACAATGAATGCACATCAATCAAGCAAGCGTTCACAGCGGTTCTCCCGTTTGCTGCCTGAGACTGTCATGGAGTTAGTCCCTGCTGGTTTGTATGTGCTAAATGCCATTAACCCCAAATGGTTACTCTCTTCAATTATTAACGCTTGACATATATTTGTAATAATTTTGGTGTTATCATAGACAAGGGGAACCATTTGGATTTGTAGTCTCACTACTGTACTCACTTGACAAAATGTCTTGTGTTGCAGTCTAATTCATGTTTCTAATAAAGTATTATTCACCTATGCTTATGCCAGAAAAACACTGACTCTTACCTTGCTGTGAGTTTCTTTTTGGTATCACAGAGCACAAATTTAAATGCCTTTTTATGTGCTGGAGACAGATTTATAGGAAGACAGTTGGGTTGCTTGCTTTCAGGCTAAGTAGAGATGCTTTGTAGCTTCGAGAAGGTTCTCTGTGATATGCTATAGCATCCAATGCCCAATGCAAACTTCTAGTATCTTCTGTCCATTCAATCATCTCAACTTTTTCTTCATGAGAAACACAACTTGAGAGTACTCTGCTGTCATAAAAGATGGGGTTTTTGCCTTTCCTGTTGAAGATAAAATCTCAAGAAGTTCAGAATTAATTTAATTGTATGACTGCAAATAGTGTTTCAGACATTAGATGAATTTGAGGCCTTGACCTAGAAAGGGATGTTTTATAGTATGTGCTGAGGTCTAAAGGTGCACTCATAAGGTAAATGAAAAACTTCTATAAAATAGTGGGCAAATCAAGTGAATGTGTGCCTTCAGTGGTGGAGAGAAAAAGATGCCATCTCCTTGTAAACGGCATATTCAGCCTTGAAGCAAAATGGTACAGGCCTTAGAGAAATTTAAGCAGATTAAAAAATGCGGTAGGTTTAAAAACTCCCACGCTTCCGCAACCCATTGCATTCTACATGGTTACTGTATCCAGCCTTGTACGAACTACTTCAAATGCTGATGTGAAAAATTTGCTTTTAGTAAATTTCCGCTTCAGGATGAACAGTAATTTCAACCATGTAAATCCACCAAAATGCTTTGCAGAGTAAGTTGAAAGCCATGGCTTCTAAAGGATCAGCAAGCGTAATCACAGAAGACATGCTAAAAGGCCAGGACTCTCTGACAACAGACACGGGACAGCCCGTTCAGCCTGAGGAAATACCGAGTGCTGCTGGAGCAGAGCAAATGGAGAAGGAAGATGACCTCCCGCAACAGGCGGATGATCTCTCTTTCAGTCTGGATGAACTAAATGTCACATCATCACCCGAGTCCTCCACTGTTTGTCCAAATCAAGACTATAATTTAGTGAATTCTCTACTAAACCTCACTAAAAGTCCCGTGAGTTGGGTTTTTTTGTTCTTTTTAATGTGGTAAAATGATGAAATAGTTTGGATGCTGTGTGAAGTGGGAAGAGGGAGTGAATATACATGTATGTACACACTGTATTTTAACTATAAAAATTAAAACAAGGTTTGTTTTGCAGGTGTTTTTTGTAAATTGGCAATTTTCTTTGCCAATTCAGATTAAAGTAAAAATATTATTTTTGAAAATTAAGTTTGTTGATGGTAAGCAATTTATGTAGGATGCTGCATGTTTCACAGAGAAGCTACATAGGGTAATCATTAGATTAAATATACCACAGGAGAATATTTTAAAAAAATACTTTCAATTGTACTGACTGAACCAAACACACTTTTTTTGTAAAGGGACTGGGCTATCTCTAGGGGTTTGATTTCTTTTAAAAACAACTGCTGTATGTCTTACCCAGCTCCATCCTCGATTTCATACACAGATTCTTTCAGAAACTTAGAGGAGGGTTGGGTCGTCCTGTAATGGCTACAGCAGTGTTGACAGCAGAAAACCAAATCTACCGATGTACTTGTTATAGTTAAGTGATGGTTTACGTTGTCTAATATCTTGGTCTTAAGCTGACCCAGAGCACCAGTTCTGTCAACCTGCAGGTTGAGTTCTTAGTATTTGACGTGGATTCAGGTGAGATTCTTTATTTTGTACCATCCAAATTCACTAGAATGAAGTGTCAATGACTGAAAAGGCAACAAAAATAAATGCGTTCACTCACTGTGGGGAAATGGAGAGGTTTTATATGGGAGGTGTTTGCTTCTTGATTTCAAGTGAGCTTCATTCACCCTCTGATTAATTCTTCCATGCCCTTCTGCCAGGACGGCCGGATAGCAGTGAAGGCCTGTGAAGGCCTCATGCTTTTGGTGAGTTTGCCAGAACCAGCAGCTGCCAAGTGCCTGACTCAAAGCACTTGTTTATGTGAATTGTTGACAGACAGGCTGGCCACCCTCTACAAAGCCCTGCCTCAGTCACTGGATCCCTTAGACATTGAAACAGTGGAGGCAATTAACTGGGGGTAAGAATTTCATTTTTGTATTTAATACCCAAGGTGATTTTACACCCCTCCCTGAAACTAATTTTCTATAGGTAGATAAGATGTATAAAATATTCATACCCCCATGCTAAAGTCTCGAGAGCAGAGCTGAGATCCCATCTGCAGCATAGTGGTACGATTCCGGTAGTCCAGCGTACACATGATTTCTGACATGGGGCCAGGTTTGGCTGCCAGTGCCTTGCAGAGATTCCTCAGGGGCCAGGTTTTTCCACTGAATTATGTTAGCAATTGGATGTGGTATAGCTGCAGTATCAGGTACAAATTATTTTCTTGTTCAGATGTTAAGGATTTAGGGAACTTAAACTTTTCACTGTACGCAGTGAACACTGTAAGCTGTTGCAGGGGGCAGGAAGGGTATATTTGGTAACAGGCTGTTGTTGCAAAATTTGTGCAGTGAAAAAGAAGAAGGAAAGAGTTACTGCATAACTTATCAGCGTGTTATCCTATCTGCTTGCATGTTAGATTCTCAAAACACTTCTCTTCCCCACTCTGCTTTCATTATTATGAATTGCTCATGATCTATTAGTACTGAGACAAAAAGTAGGTATATGCAAGATAACTAACAGAATTTCTAGGGGTTGGAGTTGGAAGTTAGAAGGGAAAAAACAACTTTGAGTAGCAGGATAAGTAATTATTGGACTGCTTTACCAAAGAACATGGTGCATTTGTTATTCTGTAGAGCATATAAATTGAGATACATGTTTTTTCCTGAAAGATACAATCTAGTTCAGGTATACACTGTGTGGTTTTGGTGGACTTGATTGAGGTTGTTACAGAGTAGAGAAGAACAATTGCCTTCATTTTATGGTTCTCTGACTACAGGAGTTATTGATTCGGTTTCTGTGGTCTCTGTTTCCTGGGAGAACAGACTAGGTGATCAGTTTTCCCTTCAGACTCAAGAAATACTTAAACAAACAGAGCTCTGCTGCTGTACATACTGTGTATCCTTTAGCATGCCACAGAAAACTTGTGTAATGATAGCACTGCCGGATTAGTAGAGACTGGCAGAAAAGCTAGTTTAATGTTCACTTCACTGCAAGTAGGTCATTAATTATACTCTTAAGTTCAATAAGAATGAAGTCCAAGATTCTTCAATTACTTGTAGACTAAATAAGTATTTTTTCCCTGTGTTCTCTAGTTTGGATTCATATAGCCACAAAGAAGATGCATCTGCTTTTCCAGGGAAAAGAGCGTTGATTTCGTTTCTTTCATGGTTTGACTACTGTGATCAACTCATCAAAGAAGCACAAAAGGTTTGAAATGTTTACAGATGATACAAATATATTCAGCAAATAAGTAGTTCCAGTTGTTTCTTAGCTTTTGAGTTTGAGACATACCATTTTGTACTTTTGTTTCAGACTACTGCTGTTGCTATGGCAAAAGCTGTGCGGGAACGATTTTTCATTGATGTTATGGAACCCCAGCTGATGCAAACGTGAGTAGCATTCTGCAAGACACAGCAGAACAGAATCTGAATCAAGCTGATTTTGTTTTCAGATTAAATCCACTTCATATCTGACATGAAATTTTTTGTTCAGTTCAGAGATCGGAATCCTCACATCAACGGCACTATTGCATCGCATTGTTCGTCAAGTGACTTCAGATGTCCTGCTGCAGGAAATAGTTTATTTTATACTTGGAGAACACAGAGAGCCAGAAACTTTGGCAGACATCAACAGACATCCATTGCGGCACAGATTAATCGAACACTGTGATCATATTTCTGACGAGGTGAGAAGTGGTAACGATATAATAATGTCTGCTGGCCAGTTCTGTCTTGCGTAGAGTCTGTAAAAACACCATTGTGAGGTCTTTTCATATTTGTGTCGCCTAACTTGTTTTGCCAAGGAAAAGAGTTCTGACTGCTAGCCCAATGAATTCCCTTTAGAAAATGAAAGTCAAACAGTTTTCTCCAGCTAGCACATTGTTCCCATTCATAAAGATTCTTTGCTAAATTTGCCTACCTCCTATGCATATCTAGTTAGGCTTGCTCATCTGTAAGATTGGGCAAAATCAGTTTCTGTAATTGCATTTTAATTCGTGCTTTGTTATATGTTACATTGCTGTTATTTTCCTTGTCATGTCAATCCTGTCATGTTGTCATATAAGGTATTGTTAAAAACTTAATTTTTATATAAAGTGTGGTCAGAGGATATACACAATGCCAATTAAAAGATTATACAATAACTTTACCCACTTTACACGCAGTAAACATTGTTAAAATAATTTAGTAAAATCCCTCCTCAGGAGCTGCTTGTTTTATTTTTTCCATGAAACAACCTCCACCCTTTACTTTTTCAAAGAAAACCCAAGCTTGCGTGAAATACAGATCTATGCCTTCACATACCCATTTTTTTCAGTACACTTACCTGCTCGCCCTGTCAGAATGAGTTATCTGTATAAATTAGTTGATCTTTGCAAAGCTAAGCACTCTAAAGTTGTCTTTAAAAACTCTGTATTGCTTAAAGTCAGTTTCCTTTTAAAAGCCTACGTAATCTCCATGTAAAAATCTTAGCCTATAGTTCTAGTCACAATATCCCAGTATTACTTTGTTTTATTCTGGGTATTTATTACTGTCTTTAAGTCCTGTTCTATGCCTCACTTGCACAATGATAACCATCTTCCAGCATGGATCTGATTGTAGTATGGAAAGCTAATTTCTAAGTTCTCTGGATGTTCTTTGCATTGTTATTTTGGCAGATTATAGAACAGGTTTTGTTTTACAGGAAAAAAATACATCCACATATTGATTTTTCAAATGTGTGTGAACTCTTCATCCATGTTTGTTCTACATTCAGCATTACAATTTCCTAATTTTTCTTATGATTTTTGCTTCCTTCCATAATGTAAATAAGTGATTTCAGTGTTCTAGGATGTACAAACCAGATATACTGCAAAAAGCGTAAGGTAGTCACGCGTCAGTTTAATGAGTTTTTACTTTTTATGTTGCAGATCAGCATAATGACTTTACGAATGTTTGAGCACCTTTTGCAAAAACCCAATGAACACATTCTTTATAATTTGGTTCTGAGAAATTTAGAAGAAAGAAACTATATGGAATACAAGCCTCTCTGTCAAGAAGATAAAGATGTGGTAGAGAATGGACAGATTGCAGGAGCAGTGTAAGTTTCTTTTTTAAGGGAAGTTTTCACAACAGCTAACTTGGATCCATATGTTTAAAACAAAACAGGGATTTTTCTCAGTAATTGAAAGAAAAGTGATCATAGATAGCACTTTGAGAGCTCTATGTATTAATCCATATCCATAAAGTAATGCAGAAATTATTACATCAGCAACTTAGGGAAATTTTTAGAACAGTAACATAAAAGCTAAAATTATCAAACGCCTCTTTCCAGAACAATAGGCACTCAAAGGTCTTCACATATCGATTTACTTATGCATCTGCCTAGCTTAAGTCTATGCATATTTGTATTGTTTTCAGTGAGATTATTCTTGAAGTCGATAACTTAGGTGTCTTGCTTATATTTATTTATGATCTTGAATTATTTTTTGATGGAAGAACTGTTCTAGGACACTTTACATAAAATCCTTTTAAATACTCTACATAACTTTTGTAACTCCTTTTTTTACTTATGGAGGGGTAAGGACTAGTCACACCAGCTATTTTAATCTTAATTTTTATCTTAATTTAGATATTTCTGAGTCATCTAAATGACATCTAATGATGTCCTGCTGTATAACTCACTCTCATGTAAAAAATGTGGCTAAAGAGTTTAAGTGATTTAATGCAGTGATTTTGTACGAGTCAAAAATATCTATTCTGTTGTTCAGATCAAGAAGTTACGATTTTTCTTCAAACTTTGTTGAGTGTTTGTGAAGGTTGGGATATCTGGATATTAATTAGGTAAAAGGATGTGTGTACGCTAGTGGTCTGGAAAACATCCTCGTTGTTTACAGAAGAAAAATAGAAAGCAGGCCTTTTGACCCAGAGATTATGCCTTTCATAACATTCTGTGAATCATTATGTTTTTGTCTAATATAATCTCACAGAGACCTAGAGGAAGATCCGTTATTTACAGATCTGTCTCCAGATAACACATTGTCAACTCAAGAGTGGCTCAGTGCTTCTCCCCCTGTCAGTCCAGAACATCCAAAAAATGATGGGAAGACTGAAGTTCATAAAATTGTAAATAGGTAAGCTGAAACAAACACTTAAAGAAATCTCTGAATGTGTGGGTGTCTGCACACACTGTGCAAATGAAATGTACTCTGTTATGGATGTTATTCTGTGCCAGCTGGTAAAATGACTCCACAGAAGGAAATTATGTGGCATTTTATCAGAAAGCTACTCCTGAAAGATTAGAGCTTACAATAAGTAAAAATAATTCAACATATATGAGAAAAATACAAGAACTTCACAGCTAATAGTCTAGGTGAATACTCAGAATTCATGATGAAAGCCTCATTGATTATAAAACTTTCTTTTTTCAAAAATATTTGCTATACTTAAACTCCAGGACTTGACCTTCCTGGAGAAGTCTGGGAAGTCTCGCCATAAACGTTTTAGGGGAAAAAACCCCACAAACTTATAAAAGTTCCTTAAACACGTATATAAAAGGAAATAATTGCCATGCTAGACATAACCTTCTGTTCCCTGAAAATCAGGGGACATCTCTGTCACCTGTGACATACCTTTGTGCATGTTAGATGTACTGCAAATTGGATATCACAAAGAGGACAGGCTCTGCTCTAAGCAACTTAGTGATGGTAATTCTCTTAGCAACTAATATTAGGACAAATGCTGTTTGCTCTGTTAATACATGGTAGCAAAGCAGCACTGGTATTTCACTGCTGACCTATCTGCTTACCCAGAGATAATCAAAGGTGTTAGCCAAAGAAGCAAACAGCTTGAGGACAGTCAGCATAGAATGGCATAGTAGCTTCTTGCCCCCTTTCCCCCAGTACTGCTATATATAGTTTATGGTGGACATGGTTTGGAGCAAAGATGGAAAGATCCTAAATTCACCTCGTGTAATCTCTGTCAGCATATAGAAATTTTTTGAGGATTTGCAGTGTTTTGCAAATTTGTATTTTTTCAGATAAGATGAACTCCATATGAAAAGTCAGCTACTACGTATTTCTCCGTGTAAATCTTACAGGAGCCTCCAGCAGTTCTTGGAGCGTGGAGTAAGCTGAAATTTGGAAACCGGGTCCCAAGACTGAGTTTTATTTTGCTGTCTAGAAATTTTAGGGGTTTATCTTTATTTTTTAAAGACAGTCCCTCTCTAATAAGATTCAGGATTTCCCGATGCTTTTTAGGTCAGATATTGGTAAAGAAATAAGGACATACGGTATTTGCACTACATACCTGGCAAAGGCAATTATATTTGTAACTGGGCCATTTATATGCAAAAATTCCTGTATGTTCTTAGATGTTCATTTTTTACTGCAACAAACTATGGTAAATAAAACTGCCTATGCAGTAGGTTAAGAAGAATTTTAACTGCAATTCTCTTTCTTTTTTGGCTCATTTATTCCCCAGTAAATTTTCCATATGCTCTAGTAAGATGGAGTCTGACTTTTAGCAAATACATAACCTGGTTGTGAATATTCCTTTTCATCTCCATTCTGTCTGCTAATTCTCAGAAAATGCTTCCACTGAGGTTTTTACCTCTAGGGCTAGATACAAAAGTTCCGAAGTATACATCTTGTTATTACAAACAGTAGTTAGAATAGATGTGCTTAAATAGATTTTGTATTCTCTGTTCTTTGCATAAAGTTCTGGTAGAATCTGTGGATTAATTGGCCAAACAATTCAGTATAGTGTACACCGTTACAGACGATGAGCAAGTATTGATCTAGTGCTCTGTGGATTATAGATATTCATTAATGTACTTTTTTTCTCTTTAGTTTTCTCTGTCTTGTACCTGATGAAGCCAAGTCATCATACCACGTGGAGGGTACAGGCTATGATACTTACCTCAGAGATGCCCACAGACAAGTAAGTCAGTGAAATCTTCCTTAGTCCTTGAAAATTTGAAATGCATATGAGAATATGCCAATGGTTCTATAAATAGTCCTCCTAAATGCATCTTTTGGTAATGGAAGATAGGAAAATTCAATTTTTATTTTCTAATGAAACCTTACCTTTGGAGATCTTTTGACGGTGAATCCACCTTGTATTGCTCTAGTGGGAATAATGGATGACATTAAATGCATTAATATTCATATAACAAATACACTGAGAGAAAATCTGAACTGCAGATAGATTCTTAATTTGCTTTTGCATTTATCTGCATTCTCTTGGAGAATTGCCTGCCAAGCTGTTTGAAAGGACTAAAGGGAAATTAAAATGCTGCATAGGAGTTATGCAATCTGGGTCTTTAAAAATAAAGGCTCATCACAGCGAATGCGCAGCCTAAAGCATTCACGTTTGAAGTTGGAAGTTTTGGTAGATAGGGAAAGCTTTATGATTTACTGTTTTGAAATAAATGCAGGTTTTGTTTTTATGAACACAATCTAAAGTTTCCTTGGTCAGAGGACAATCACTGTTCTTTTGCAGCTTTCTTATCGAAGCCCTGTGAATCTTCTAGAATAGAAAAATTTATGCAAAGGAGTGGAGTAACTGAGTGTGCTATATTTAGTAGCTACTTCAAAAATTCCATAACCTCTGAATGATGATATTAGCAGGTTAAGACAGAAAGCTTGGATTTCTGTATTTATTATATTGTTTTATCTGTAGTCTCTCCTGAAAAGAAAAGGAATAGAAAATAGAGAATAAGGAAACAAAGGTTGATGTAAAATTCCCCTGTGTTCTATTCTTGGATGGTAGAAAACACATATCATCTTTGTATTTCTTTCATGCCTTGGGAAAAAGAGTATTCTGGGAGTTATTAGAGAACAGAATTGGTTTCTGTCACATCCTGACAATGATATGGCTACTCTTAAAATATTTCCCCCCTAAGAATAGCCCTGCCTATTGCCATTATTGCATCCAAATAGCTGTTCTGCTTCCATATTTCTATTATTGGAAGCCTGCACAAGTAGGTAAGCTACATGCAGTGAAGAATCTCTGAGTCTGTTTTGTCTTTCTTTTGCTACTGTTTATTCCTGTGTTCCTTATTTTCACTGCTATAACCTGTGCTCCTTTCAAGGTATGAAAGAGAGACATGAGGCAGAGGCAGAGGTTGAGAAAGACTGTTATGGGTCATAGGAAACAAAGAGAGGGAAGAGGAAGCCCTGAAGTACTTTTCATTTGTATCTCCTGCATATACACATGCCTTTCCTGTCCTGGGAATTAGGGAGGAATAAAGATCGCATAGCAAGATAAACTACACATAATACAGTGAAAGTGTGGTAACGTACTGGCAACAAGACTGTATATGAATGCAATTCCTGCTTTAGAAGAACCCTGATCAGGATGTGTATTGTTGACTTTGCTTTGTGTGTTGGCCCCAGCTGCTTTTTGGGAGCTCTGTTCTCCACTCATTGTTTCTGCAACTACCCTAAAAGCATAAATGTCAAGAAGAAAATGAGGTGCCTGCATAGAAACTGATTGTGTCTACTTTAGAATGACTGTTCTTTTTGAGCTTAGATTTATCATTTAGCTACAGATTATGGTTTTAAGGTGTGTGGACTATTAAAAGGAAATTAAATGGCTTCCATGGACGTTTAAGTCTGTTTTCCTCACTACTTTTTTCTAGTTCCGGGATTATTGTGTCATCTGCTTACGGTGGGAGTGGCCTGGATCTCCCAGATCTTTGGAAAAGTGCAATTTAGAAGCATCATTTTTTGAAGGACACTTCTTGAAAGTCCTGTTTGAAAGAATGGGCAGGATTCTTGATCAGGTAAGGAAAAGCAGGTTACAAATTCCATTTCTGATAAGAAATGGAATAAGAAATTCTGATAAGAATATCCTTAAGAATCTTACCCTCATCTTTTATCTTAGGAATCCTTCAGTACTAGCGTCACTGGTTCTGTTTTCATTTTCCAATATTTACACTTAGAAAGCATGCACATTTTTCAATAAAAACTGTACAGCTCCTTTCTGCCACATTTCAGTGAACTTCAATCTGAAGTCTTGTTAAGGAAGCAGTTTACATCACTGCCTAAGATGAAGAGACTTAGTGTATCACTGCTAACATTTTCCCCATTTTTTCACAGTTAGAAAAAACTGTTATCAGTGCATGGAAAGTTTCTAGAGGGTATCCTTTTCCATCTGCAATGTAAAGTTGTTTTTTTTTCCTGTTTCATTAGCTTCAAATAATACAAATATAGCTGCCACGGGCAAATAAATGAGATATCATCTGACTGGCTCCTTGTTCTGAAAAGGAAGTGTGATATGTCAGACCCAGATTAGTGCAGTGGAATTTAAAGAAAGTGAATTTTCCTGAGGTCTTTTTTTTTTCTGTACTTAGCCAGCCTGCATGACCTAGTCTTTCTGGGGAGAAGCCAAGTGAAGGCTCAGGGAGGTGAAAAGGAGGTTGCTCTGTGTAAAAACTTAACATTTCTTTGCTTTCTCTAAACTCTGGACTTCAGCTAGTCAAGTCAACGTTGCTGCTTTATATCAGGAAGAGAAAACCTTTCTTGCCAGTGAAAACAAGCCCTGGAAGTTCTAGATTACCCTCCCTGTTATACCAGCTGGAGTTGCTACAGATGCAGTAGTACCAGTTTCAGAAGTTTATACAATTCTTTTCTGTTTTGCATGTGGAGCTATCTACAGAATAAACAATTAGCTGAAGTAGTGCCAGATTTTCTGGTCATAAGCAGAACAACAGCCATTGAACATACAAATGCACTGGAAACACGTCAAGAAGTCAGTAGTAGCCTCTAGGTCATCTCTGTGAGTGTTCAGGAGAGAAGGGTGTTTGAAAGTACCAACTTTTATAATTCAGAAATCAAAAAAGAAAGTCAAATACTTCCATTGCTATATTGTGTATTCTCAGGGTTTTGCTTCCAGTAAACATGTTCTGCACACTTCATGAGCTGAAATGGTTATAGATTGGAGTCATGAAGAAGACTGGGCATCATCAGCTCTTAGAAGAAAGACAAGCCTCATGACTATGAAAACCTTGTCTGAGCAATGACACGTAAATTACAAAAAGTGAAGAACCCAAGTTACATCCCCCAAGAAACACCTGAATGTCAGATACATACAACTACAATAAAAGTAGCAGCTGGCATGGAAGCACAGTGCCCTTTTGGAAAAACTGCCTGTCAGCGTGACACACATAGGGTTAGTCAAGCAAAGCGTTACTATCTGTGATGTCAGAAATGGCTCTTGACTCCAGAAGAGTTAAAATGAACTGCCTGAATCAGGCAGAAGGAGTAAATACTTATTATATTATAACAAAACCCTGTCCTAAAAAAAAAAAAAAAACCAACCTGGAATTCCTAGGGGTTATTCACAGTGAAACACATAAATCGCATAGAAAAGCAAAAAGACCCTACAAAATACCAACAAAACCTGGGTCCTGCCAGTGAAAAATTTGACATAATGGGTTCTAATGTCCAGACAAAGTGAAAAATGTGGAAGAGCCTTTAGTAGGGACACAGTACTACGTGCAGATTGTATTCAATGTCTTTTTTGCTTTGTCACAATACTATAGGTAGTTCTCGGGTTTTTATCAGTTTTTGTTAGTAGATAACAGAAAACTTTGAAGAGGTGGTAGGTATCATTGGCCTAGTTTCTGACAGAAGATAGCTGAGGCACGCAAGTGAAGTCACTTGTTTGAAGGCTGTTCAAATCCGTACCTCATCTGCTAGACAGTACATCCTGCCTCCTGTTAACATTACACATTTCTATGGAATTAGGAAACTGCCTGTTTCCTAAAAATTTCCTCAGAATTTTGTAAGAATTTAGTTACAGAGAAATTTTCTAGGATGTTATCTGATACAAGGCTTGTACTGAGTCTGCTGACATATGGACAGAAATAAAAGTTCTGTGTGAAGAAGCAGCTTTTCTTAATGCTCTCAATTAGTTCAAATCGCAACAGCAATCTGTCTGAACAATGCAGCACATCTTACTACTTTGTTTCCTTCTCTTCTTGTGAACACTCACTCAGCTCTAAAGACCTTGTCCTACAGTTCAGCTAGGTAGGCAGTGGAATGGCTTTATGGAAGGAATTTGCAGAGTGACTTTTCCACAGTAACTCCAAATGTAGTGATCTCTTTTACCTATAACATCTCTGGTCCAGGCTCTGAAAGCTTCATTTCTTAGAAGATTAGGATGAATCTATTGCTGGAATATCAAGTACAGAAATAACTGCCATTGACTGGGAGAAATATGTGCTTTCACTTCAAAAGATCTATAAGACAACTCCCTTTGCAAAGCAATAGCGTGTGGTAATGAATTCAGGAGTAAGGTACCTAAACGTTAGTTAGGTGTCCACATCTAGTCAGCAGAAATTTTGTCAGAGCAGCGCTGGTAGTCTCTGGAGCTGTTTGACTGAAAAGCAAGTGGGTGTCTCTTCTAGTGCAAAGTGAATCACCATCTCAGCTTCCTTGACTGTGTTGGCTGAAAGGTTGGCTCAGTTGCCTGAACTGAGGTATTTGTTTCTGTTTTTGTGATGCCCAGGATATTCTCACAAGCTGCGGTTACAACACAGATCTTGTAAGATCCACACTCTGTGGAACTGTCCAGATACTCTTGAGCATCTGAGATGGCACGAGATGTTTGCGTGTGGGCAAGTGTATTAAGTGTCAGATCTCTGTTGAGTAGGCTAATGCGAGCTTAGACATGTAGACACATCTAAATATATCTGTCTTAATCTGAAGCTGAATTCTTCCAAATCTTACAATCTGGAAAAGGGAAGAATCTGTTCTCTGATACTTCAGTGGGATGCTAACTTGAGAGCGCAAAGATGGTAATTTGAGCCCATGAAATCATCCTCTTCTAGACGTGATTATGCCACTGAGGATGTTACTGCAGCTATGCACTCGAAGGGATTGAGTGAGGGCCCTGTAATCCACTTCAGGTGAAATCAACACGGTTAAGTTAAACCATCTGCGTGTTGGTAACATCTTTAGACTGGCATAGGTGTGTACCAAGGGAAGGTCTGTCCGTCTCTTATCAATGTAGTCTGTTCCACCACTGAATAGATGGATGGAAATTCCACTAGTTTGCAAATTTTGGGCTGAATTAAATGTCGGCTTGTTTTCACTGTGATGGAAAAAAAAGTACTTGGAACATAAAGAAGCTATGGTGAAAACACTTGCTTTTGAAATGAGTTTCTCACTGGAATGGTAAAATCTTTCAAGCTAGGCACTATTATTTTCCTAGAAAGTTAGGCACTATTTTTTTTTTTCTTATGACTGATTAGCGTCTTCCAGCATCTGACAGTGTTGCCTCTCCCATTTGGTTGATTTGGGGAAAGGAGGTAGAGAAGAAGCGCAGAATTTCATGCTGCTGTCCCAGCCTGGGACTGTCTCATCTCCTGTCGCATGCTGCCACAAAATGACTGGCCTTCTGCAATGGTTCTTTCCAAGAAAAAAGAAAGTAGAAGAAGAGAATTACCATATTAGCTGTAAATTAAGATTTGTGTCTCTCACTTTCCTGAGCTTGTATACTTTGCAGTTATCCAGGAGAAGCAAGCAGATGTTTAATCTAGGCTGATTCTCTGCTGTTTGTTTAGCTACTGAGCTGAAGAAATGTTTTACAGGAAGAGGACTTATCCTAAAATAAACAAGTGTGCAAAAGCTTCAAGTGGTTGTAACTGTTATATAGATAATAACATCTAATACCTAACTGTCACATTCGCATCATTCCTGCCGTGGAAATGAGAGGTTTTGTGCCTGTCTTCTTATCTAACTTTTTATCTTTATATATTCATAACCCTGTATGTAAGGTTCTAGGAGTTAAATAAACACTGGCTGGATGAAAGGAAGCCAGCATGAAAATAACTAGAGTACCGTGTTTTCCTTTTTTTGCAGCCCTATGATGTAAATTTACAAGTTACGTCGGTGTTGTCCAAGCTGTCCTTGTTTCCCCATCCTCATATACATGAATACCTTTTGGATCCTTATGTAAACCTAGCTTCTGGCTGCAGGTCTCTCTTCTCTGTTATTGTCAGGGTGAGTAAACACACCATTAATATTTACATATGGCTATACAGCACTGATATGTTTAGTAACTTTGTAGTTAGTGGTAGTAGTTGCTGGCTAGTTTACGTTGGCAAATGATTTCTCACCAAAAATAGATATTTACACTCTTGATTTGAAAATCAGAATTATGCCTTTTCTACCAAAAACATTGGAAAATGTATTTCCCGGCATTTATTTTCATTCGGCATGTCTTGAAAATCATTTGTTTGCTCAGTTTCATTGTGTAGATGCAAAATATCCCCTCTGGCAACCACATTGCTTTAAACTGGACTAGGTCACATTGTTGTCCCTTGCAGGCAGCGTCAGGTAGTGCTGTAAGAACAGGCCAAGAACAGTTTTGCATCTTGATGGGAAAGAGATGGCTTTGATTCACACAGAAGCAAAGGACGCTGCTGAATACCCTGCGCCCGGATGGATAGCTCTGCTCATCCTCTTTTTTTTTTTTTCTGATGAAGGCTGTTCTTGACAATGAAGTCCTGGGTTTATCGGAAGTCTCCTTCCTTTCCCTCTCTGATTCCATCTCTTCCTGCCAGACCTGCATCCTAGAAGTGCTGGCTGGGTGCCTGTCACTCTGCAGTCTTCTCAGTCAGAGATCCCTCGCCTACCCCACGCACCAGCTGTTATTAAGCTGGTCAGGAGCCTATTAATGATGCTTGCCCAATACTAACGGAGGGCTTAGCTCCCTTTTTCACAGCAGCCCTCCACATTTCAAAATATAATCTTCACTCTCTCCCCTTGTGCTTTCCCTAAACCCAGGAATTTACTGGTCAATTGCCTACATCAACATTTACTAAGTCAAATTAATCATTGGCATAATTGAAATAAGTAATAACATTTGCAGCAACAGACTGAAGAGTTGCTTTCCTTTTGTATCTCTTTATTTTCTACACTCACTCACCCTTTTTCGGGGCAGAGCAGCTACTCTGCATGTTGTTTTGTGAGCCTGTGAGGGTGCTGAAGTGGGTCTGCATCCTGGGGACTGAAGGCTGTCATTTAACCTTGCTGCCAGGCACTCTGCAAAGGTGTTAACTTTGTGTGTTGATGGCATTGTGCTTTACAGGTCGTTGGGGACCTCATGGTTAGAATCCAGCGCATCCCAGATTTCACTCCCAAACTTCTGCTGGTCAGAAAACGCCTGCTGGGCTTGGAGCCGGAAGGGCCCATGTGAGTAAACACATTGCATATTCACCAACACCCACGGCTGGTTTTTGTTTGTGCCAGTCCTGATTCTCTGCTGTTTTTTTTTCTCTTCCTCAGCATTGACCACATGACGTTACTAGAGGGCGTGATTGTGCTGGAAGAATTCTGCAAAGAGCTGGCAGCAATTGCGTTTGTGAAGTATCATGCCTCATCTACACCATAAGCAGCCTTGATGAGTAGCCAGGCCGTAAAACCACCTAGCCTCTTCCAGTCGAAAGGACTATTGACAACACCCAGAGAAGAAGAGGTGGTGCTTCCTGGCAAAGTGTCAGTTGACATTTGGCAGAACTGGAAGAGGAGTTACTTTCACCAGATGTTGACGTTGCAAGAGAGAGGGATTCACATGGACCTAAAATATGATTGAAGGCATTTTGGGAGAAGCCAATACATAGCATTTCTAGCCACTGTGTGAAGAGCTGCAAAAGCTGCATGGAGAACCACAGACATCAGACCTTGGTTGTTCTGTTAGAATGACAGTGTTTAGAGAGTTGGGTCTTTTGTATGTTCTGGGGCTCACATGCGCCAATTTGCTTTTTGTGACCATATTACTTTTAAAAAGCAAATTAATTTTATAACATTAATATGTCTTAATTCTTTTTCTTTTCAGTTGGATATATGAAAGGAAATCACAACTATAGTCGCAATGTGTATTACTAAATAGACAGAAGAGGTTCAAAAAGACATGAAGAGGTTCAAAAAATCCACCAATCCATATACAGTGGGATATATTAATGAGGGATCATTTTTGTTTTGGTGAATCTTAAAGACAACTCTTGAGTTTGATTCCCCAATGGATTACTCCAGGAGATATATCAGTATAAAATCAGTACTAATTGAATTAATCCTCATTCAGCATCACATCTGTAACAAAGTTACATCTGAAGCATGTTTCTAGCATGTTTGTCTCTGTCATTCCAAGTGATTGATCTTCAGGTCATATGTGTAACTAGATTTGCTTTAGGTTTTTGCTTGTGAGCTCTAGTTGCTTGACTCTTGTCACCTTTACAGGGAAGTTAATTATAGGTCATTAGTAGTTGTTGCTGAAACAGTATTTTTAATTTCTTTTAAATTGATATTTAGCCTGAATTGGCTTAAGAATCTTTTGTGCCTTGAAGATTGGAAGTGTAAACATTCTGTCATTTTTAGAAATGTTTTTATTGCTTACCTAACCATCGCAGTAGTGCCCAGCGACAGATTGACTGATGCCAATTCAGTTAAAGCGTTGATACCATATATAGGACCAAAATTTGCCCCTGCTTTTCACAGTGCTGGGATGCAGAAGTGTCTCCCAGGGAATCTTTTTCAATTTGTAAGCTATCAGCCAGGGCAGGCACTTGCACTGCAAGCGGAGGGCCCTTCGGACTTCAGCGTGCTTTGCTTCTATTTCCCTAGCCTGCCGGCAGCCTGCGCTTCAGACAGTCCTTGCTGCTCACTGCCACACAGGCGCTGGCAGGCTCGGGTGGCTGCGCTTTAACCTTCAAGTCGCACCGAGTGACTTGGACAAGAGACCTGCCCTGCTCTCCCCACAGGTGTGTAGTACCTCTCTCCCCTCCCAGGAACGTAATCGCACAGGCAGGCAAGGTAGAGTTTAGCTCCTTGTGCTTACATTGTGTTTCTATCTTCGTCTTTCCTACTGTCCTGTTTGCACAGGTAATGCCCGTTTCAGATGTGATTGCTCATACAAAATACGGACTAATTTACTCAGTCACTAGAATTTTTCTGGATTTACCTGACTGTACCTAGAATCAGATTCTGCCCTGAATCCATGCCTTTGAGGTCTTTGTTAATATTTATGGAACCTGGATGTTGAGAGGCCTTTTAAGTTAGGAGGTTAATTAGAACAGTGTCACAGTTAATGGGCTAAATTTATTCTTGTCACAACAGTGAAGAGGGTCCTCCTGTAAAAGCTTCCAGTACAGGTTCAGCTGGAGAGAGCCATTCTGGGACTGGGGAAACATTTTGGCAGATAACACCTGTATTCAGTGGCTCCCTATACTGGGAGGCTTTCGTACAAAGCATTGCATTTATCTGGCAAACAAAAGCATGGTTTACTTCCTCATCTCCTTGGGTTTTTTTCTGAATTTAGCCCCAAAGTGTTTTCAGGTCAAAGTAGCATAGTAAGATAAAGTGTAAAAAAGTGAGACTTTTTTCATTTTTGTTCTTTAAAATCATACCTTGAAAGTAGCAAATAATTTTTGGGGATAGGTATTGCAGTCAGTTCATATTAGAAGCTTCGTTAATGTAACATACCTAGCGCATAGTTTAGAATATGTAGATGTCTATGCAAAATGATGTTTAATACATACATTTGTTATTAATAAGGTCCCAATTCAGCAAAGCAGTTAAACAAAAGCTTGATTTCAAGGATTTTATTCCTAAATCACAGTCTCTTACATGAACAAAGTTAAGCTGTTGAGCACAAATGCTGATGCTTTACTGAATTTGGGTCTTTGTTGTTTTTGCTTAAGCTTAATTACTCTTTCTTCAGATTTTCTATTTTCATTATTTATTTTTTTTAAAGTGTATGTACCAGAATACTTCTAATGTCCCAATTTCAGTGGAAACTGGAAGTGATAATACTACTATAAATGAAAGAGAGAGAAATGTTAAACAAAACTTGCAAGAGCATTCCAATTAATACAACAATTTATAAAGCCATTCAAGAGATGCCTGATCTCAAATGAAAACATTAACATCACCTCTTTTGTTGTTGTTTTCACCGATACCTGAGCTCATTACACGGTGAGGAATTGTATGAGACAGCTTCTGGAAGGACTGCTGCAGCCTCTGTAGCATTTTAATGCAAAGCAGTCTACCGAGCTGCAAATATAATTCCTTCATGCTTGTCCATGAGAAAAATAGCTAGATATAACTGTAAGCACTCTTAAATTCAGAACATAATTGTTCAGTCTCCAGTAACATTGGTGACGTTCTTGCAAGCCAAATGTTATTTAGCTGATAAATTTATAAGACGTGGCTCCATCTTGATAGAAGTGAAGCAATCCTTAAAGTTGCTTTAGCCTAAACTGCTTTTTTGAGTGCTGCCTACAAACCCTTAATTACCATACATGGTGACAATGACCTTTATTTTTGTAAAAATGAATTAATCTTCCTAAAGAGATGGAACTCATTTAATTATTTTTTTGTGGTGATATTTTTCATGCACTTTTTTGTTAAAAAAAAAAAAAGGTTAGAAGTTAGTTCAGGTCCGTGTTTTCACCTTTCCAATCTATGCATGTCATTGAGGTGCCCATTTTGTTTCTCTGTGTGTGTGTTTTTGTATGTGGCTATTTATTACCCAGAGGTGGACACCTGAGAAAAGATATGGCGTGATGCTCACAGCATATGCAGATCATCCAGATGCCGGTGGGAAGCGCAAGTTCTTATCACCTTAGAAAATATGGCCACTAGTATTAGATTAAAATCCTTGAGAGCTAATGCTAGAATAATTTTGTATTTCAAAAAACCACATTTTCCAAACTACATTTTAATCCTGATGCACATGTCTGTAAATAGACACATTTTTACTTTTTTTCCATTTATAGTGTGTATTTGATTTAGACTCCAATATAGAAAATTTTGTAATAAGCCACGTGCTAGCTCTGGTAGAAGAAGTTCGCCCTTAGTTTCTCATATGGCTGTAATATTCCTGGTATTCAGATCCTGTCTGTGTAATGTTCTTACTCTGTATTTGTCTGTGCAATATAAAAGCTGTGAGTTGATACACAGCTTGAGTCTGGTTGTACATCACCTATGTATATATATACCTATATATATATATATAAGGACCAGAATCCCGAGCTTGCTTACACTACGATTAGTGTAAAGATTGTCGCACTTGATTTTACAGGGCACAAGTAATCATGGAATGGCTTTGGAAATGCATGGTAATTTCTACCATAACCTGCTGTGTAATTTCACCGATGACATTTTATTAGTGCTATTTGTCTTGCTAAAAGAAAGGCCAAACTGAAGTGCTAGGTAAAATCGAAGGCCTATGTAGTAGACCTGGGGCTACATGGAAAATCCATATCTGATATTGCGTATCATACAGGGTTTTCAAACCGTGATCCTCAGTGCTTTCTGTGCCCTGTAAAATAGTGTAACTATATAAAATATATACTCCTTGTTTTGCCTCCTGCCTTGTTTACATTAAACAGAGGATATTGAGTAAAATTTTTCTATTAAACTTTGTGTAGGTCACTTACTGACAGTGTTGCCAAGGTTTCACAGGTGTGGGATTTCCAATGAGGAATTGTTGAAACGGCCACCTTACGAGACGTACAATACTAAGTTTTATGAAGGAGGTTGTGATAAAATCCAACTTTTTGTGCTAAAAAAATGCATGGAGGATTAAAAGGGATATTCTCAAAATAAATTAATTTCAACGAAGCGACTGCTTCTATTATTACAGAATCCATAGCAGGTTTTTTATGGATGACCTTGAGATAGAAAATGTTGCAACATTTTGCATCATGCCTTTGATCCTGAAGTCCTTTCATTTAAGTCTGTCCCTGCAGCATCTTCTGGGACAAACCTGTTTCCTGTACTGTACTGTACTGTACCGTGCAGGGCTTGGACTTAATCAGCGGTCTTGCCCGTGGAAATCGGAAGCTAAGGGAAATGGCCAGGTTGGAGTCATCCTGCACACAGATTAACGTCTGCTCTTCCCGACAGCCCTAATATCTTTCAAGACTGCAGCTGGTCAAGGTCTTGCTTTTCTATTGCATTTCACCGCAGAGTGCGTCAGTCACAACATTAGTTTATTGAATTGGGTACAAATGTCACGTACATGAGCAAGCATCGTTTCTAACTGCAGGGCCTCTGAGGAAGGCTTTTATACATATGGGTTTATATATGTTTTTATCTATTTTAAAAAGTGTATTTGTTGGGTACTTTTTCTTAGTATCTCATCTAGTTTTCATGTCCTTCAAGTTTTCATCAGCCTTTTAAAAATCTTATCGCTCTGTAGGATCCCCTCTGAGGGCTACACTTGGATGTTAAGTTGTTTCTCCTCCTCAGTATTTAACAGCTGCAAGTGCTCTTGCATCTTTAACAAGAAGAGCGCTACAGCAAGATGATACATTTGACAGCTTTTTTTATAGCTCTCGGCATCTTTCCCTCATCCTTTTGGGCCTCAGAGATTGTCATCTCCCATCCCAG